GTAATGGTGGAAGTGAAATCACCAACTATCGTATTGAGAAAAGAGACCGGATTAGTTTGCGTTGGGTAAAATGCAACAAGAGGAATGTTACTGACTTGCATTTCAAGGTGACCGCTCTTATTCCAGGCCATGAATATGAATTCAGAGTTTTTGCTGAAAATGCAGCAGGAATAAGTGAGCCAAGTCCTTCATCACCATTTGTCAAGGCCACAGATGCTCTTTTCAAACCAGGTCCTCCTGGCAACCCTAGAATCCTGGACACAACAAGTTCTTCCATCACGCTTGCATGGAACAAACCAGTTTATGATGGTGGTTCTGAAATTACTGGCTATATTCTTGAGACCTGTCTCCCTGGAACTGAAGAGGACGAATGGACAATTGTCTCCCCTAAAGATGGTGTAAAGGGGACATCATTTACAATTACAAATCTAAAAGAAAATCAGGAATACAAAATTAATGTGTCCGCTGTAAATTGTGAGGGTATTGGAGAAGCAGCACCTGTACCAGGTTCACCTAAAGCAGAGGAACGACTCATACCACCAGAGGCTGACCTTGATGCTGAACTTCGTAAGATTGTGAACATCAGAGCATGCAATACACTAAGACTTTTTGTGCCAATTAGAGGTAGACCAACACCAGAGGCCAAATGGTCAAGAGAGAATGATGAACCTTTAGACAGAGCTACCACTGAAACAACGTCATCTTTTACATCACTGGTTATTGCCAATGTGAATAGATTTGACAGTGGCAAATACAATTTGACTGTAGAAAACAACTCTGGAGCAAAGACAGTCTCTGTAATAGTTAGAGTTCTAGATACACCTGGAGCACCACAAAACCTAAAAATAAGCCAGGTCACTAAAGAATCTGTTTCACTTGTTTGGGATCCTCCACTTAATGATGGCGGCACAAAAATTAAGAATTATATTGTTGAGAAGCGTGAGGCTACAAGAAAGGCATATGCTACAGTAAATGCCAATTGTCACAAAACTACTTACACAGTTGACCAGCTCCAAGAAGGATGCAACTACTATTTCAGAGTTCTGGCAGAAAATGAATATGGCATTGGTCTCCCTATGGAGACTGGTGAATCTGTTAAAGTGTCTGAGAAGCCACTTCCCCCTGGCAAGATTGCACTTCAGGATGTCACAAAGACAAGTGTGACATTATCATGGGAAAAGCCTGAACATGATGGAGGAAGCAGAGTGGTTGCATATGTTGTAGAGATGCAGAGCAAAGGGAATGAAAAATGGACACAAGTTGTGATTGTCAAGGTACCTGAAGCAGTTATTACTGGGCTTGTACCTGGTGAAGAGTATATGTTCCGTGTTTCTGCAAGGAATGAAAAGGGAACCAGTGATCCTCGTCAAATTGGTGTGCCTGTGATTGCCAAAGACCTTGTAATTGCTCCATCTGCTAAAATGTTGTATTCCACATTCAGTGTCCTGGCAGGAGAAGATTTGACAATTGATATTCCATATAATGCTCGTCCCAAAGCTACCATTTCATGGCTAAAGGAAGCAGTTCCACTTAAACGAACAACCAGAGTTAACTTTTCCACTATGGATACACAGCTGAATTTAGTAATCAAAGAGGCCTGTAGAGATGATGTTGGCCAGTATAGTATTAAACTATCAAATACAGCTGGTGAGACAAAAGTAGACATTAGAATTGTAGTTCTTGACAAACCTGGTCCACCAACAGGCCCTGTTAAAGTTGATGAAGTAACATCTGACAGTGTTACCATTTCTTGGCAGCCACCAGAGTATGACGGAGGCTGCACCATTAATAACTATATAGTAGAAAAGAGGGACACATCCACAACTAATTGGCAGATTGTAGCAGCAAATCTAGCAAGAACTCAAATTAAGGCAGGAAGACTGAAGACAGGCTCTGAATATCAATTCAGAATTGCAGCAGAGAACAGATATGGCAAAAGCCCTCTGCTTGTGTCTGAATGTGTGGTTGCACAGTACCCGTACAAACTACCGGGCCCTCCTGGAACACCTTTCTTGCAGTCTTCCACAAAAGATAGTATGGTGATAGTGTGGAATGAACCTGTCATCGATGGTGGAAGCACAATCTTAGGGTATCACCTTGAGCGAAAAGAGAGAAATAGCATTCTTTGGATGAAACTAAACAAAAGCATAATTCAAGACACAACATTCAAGACAACAGGTCTTGAAGAAGGCATGGAATATGAATTCAGAGTTTATGCTGAAAACATTGTTGGCATTGGGAAGGCTAGTAAGATCTCAGAGGGCTATACTGCCAGAGATCCTTGTGATCCTCCTGGAACACCAGAAGCAGTTAGAATCACAAAAAATTATATTACAATTGCATGGACCAAGCCAGAGTATGATGGTGGAAGCAAAGTCACTGGATATATTGTAGAAAAGAAGGAATTGCCTGCAGGACGCTGGATGAAAGCAAACTTCACCAATATAATAGAGACTGAGTATACTGCAACAGGTCTTACCGAGGATGAGAAATATGAGTTCCGTGTCATGGCAAGAAATGCTGCTGGAGTTTTCAGTGATCCATCATATAGTACTGGACCTATCATGGCAAAGGATGAGATTGAACCACCACGTATCAGCATAGATCCAGAGTACACTCAAACAATTGTTGTAAATGCAGGGGACAACTTCAAGATTGATGCAGATATTCATGGAAAACCAACACCATCAATCTGTTGGATGAAGGGTGAGCAGGAACTTGGAAACACCATATCTCGTGAAATTAAAAGCACAGATAGCTATACCTGTTTGACTGTAAAGGAGGCCAAACTTGCTGATGGAGGTCAATATACTCTACATCTGCAAAATCCAGGAGGAGAAAAGACTGTACAAGTCAATATTTGTGTCCTTGATAAGCCTGGGCCACCAGAGGGACCCATCTCTATTACAGGTGTAACCAGTGAACAATGCTGCCTTTCTTGGAAATCACCTAAACAAGACGGTGGCAGTAAGATTACTCATTATATTGTTGAAAAAAGAGAGACTAGCAGACTACTTTGGACAGTTGTTGAACCCAAAGTCCAAGCTCTAAACCTTAAAATAATGAAACTACTAGAAGGAAATGAATATATTTTCAGAGTTTTACCAGTAAACAAATTTGGTGTTGGTGAGCCCCTCCAATCAAGTGCAGTTGTTATCAAGAATCCATTTACACCTCCAGATGCACCAAAAGGAGTGGAAGTCTCTAATGTCAAGAAAAATTCAATGGTCATAACCTGGGAGGCCCCAACAAATGATGGAGGTACTCCTATCACTGGTTATATTATTGAGAAACATGACAAGGAAGGCATTAGATGGACCAGATGCAACATGAAAACAGTTACTAACCTCACATTTAAAGTTACTGGACTCCTGGAGAACCACCTCTACGAATTTAGAGTTTCTGCTGAGAATGCTGCTGGAGTTAGTGAGGCAAGTTCTGCAACTGTATTCTATAAAGCCCTGGATCCTGTATTCAAGCCAGGTCCACCACATAATCCAAAAGTGTTAGACATGACCAAATCATCTGTTGTACTTGCATGGGGAAAGCCTATTTATGATGGTGGCTGTGAAATCCAGGGATATATTGTTGAAGCATGTGAAGCAAAAACAGCCATAGAGGAGACACAGGCTCCAGGAGAAGAAGGAAAGGCAGCTGCAGATGAATGGACAATCTGCACTCAACCAACAGGTGTTAAACTGACATGCTTTAATGTGGAAAATCTGAAAGAAAAGCAGGAATATAAATTCAGGGTTTGTGCAGTTAACAAGGTTGGTGTTGGGGAGCATGCTGATGTTGCAGGGTCCATACTGCCAGAGGACAAAACTGAGGAACCGGATCTTGATATTGATGCTGAGTTTAGAAAGGTTGTACGTATTAAAGCTGGAGGTTCTCTTAGAATGTTCATCCCTTTCAAAGGAAGACCAGCACCACAAATCAAATGGGAAAAAGATGGTGGGCAGATTAAGGAAACAGCACAGACTGAGACCAGCAGCAGTCACACTTCTCTTGTGATTGATAAAGTCAACAGGGCAGACAGTGGTAAATACACTGTTACTGCAGAAAACTCTGCTGGTGCAAAATCTGAAACAATTATTGTGAAAGTCCTTGACACACCAAGCGCTTCTCTCAACTTCAAAGTTAAAGAAATTACAAAAGAATCTGTTACTCTTACATGGGAGCCTCCCATTTTAGATGGTGGAGCAAAGATCAAAAATTACATTGTTGAAAAACGTGAGAGCACAAGAAAAACATTTTCTGCTGTTGTCACAAACTGCCACAAACTCTCTTGGAAAGTTGAACCACTTCAAGAAGGCTGCAGTTACTATTTTAGAGTGCTTGCAGAAAATGAACATGGTATAGGGCTACCTGCCGATATCACATATCCTTTGAAGGTTTCAGAGGTACCACAATGTCCTGGAAAATTAAGTGTTCTAGATGTTACTAAAACAAGTGTGTCTCTTTCTTGGGAAAAGCCAATTCATGATGGTGGCAGTAGAATTCTTCAATACCTTGTTGAAATGCAGGTCAAGGGTAATGATAAATGGTCTGGATGTGCCAATGTAAAAACACTGGAAGCTGTAATCAGTAATTTGAACCCTGGCGAAGAGTACACTTTCAGAGTAATTGCTATCAATGAAAAAGGAAAGAGTGACCCAAGAACACTTGCTGTCCCCGTGCAAGCAAAGGACCTTGTCTTTGGGCCTGATGTAAGACCTGCATTTAGCAACTACAGTGTTCTTGTTGGAAAGGACCTTCAAGTTGAAATCCCAGTTTCTGGTCGTCCAAAGCCAAAGGTTACATGGACAAAGGATGGTGCAGCCCTCAAGTTCACAACAAGGGTTAACATTTCTAATACAGCACACAGCACTGTTCTTAACATCAAAGAAGCAGCAAGAGAAGATGGTGGAATGTATGGAATAAACGTGTCCAATGTTGTTGGACAAAAGGATGCCACCATTGAAATCATCACTCTTGATAAACCTGGCCCACCAACTGGCCCTGTGCGATTTGATGAGATAACTGTTTCAAGCGTTACATTGTCGTGGGATCCTCCAAAGTATACTGGTGGTTGCCCAATTTCAAATTATATTGTGCAAAAGAGAGATACAACTTCTACAACATGGGAGAATGTTGCAATTTCATTAGCAAGAACAACACTTAAAGTCGTACGACTGAAGACCGGTGCTGAATATCAATTCAGAATCATTGCTCAGAACAGGTATGGCAAGAGCTATGCTCTGGACTCTTCAACTGTTGTTGCTCAGTATCCATATAGAGAACCAGGACCACCAGGAACTCCATTTGTGTCATGTCTATCAAAGGACCATATGGTTGTTGAGTGGAATGAGCCAGTTTCAGATGGCGGCAGCACCATTATTGGATATCATCTTGAAAGGAAGGAGAGAAACAGCATTCTTTGGACAAAGATAAATAAGACACTGATTCAAGAAACAAGACTCAAAACCAGTCCTTTAGAGGAAAGTGTTGAATACGAGTTCAGAGTATATGCTGAAAATATTGTTGGCATTGGAAGATGCAGCAAAATCTCAGAGGGCTTTGTTGCTCGTGATCCATGTGATCCTCCTGGAACCCCAGAAGCTGTCCATGTGACTAAAAATTCAATAACTATTCAGTGGACAAAGCCAGAGTATGATGGTGGAAGTGTTATCACTGGTTATACTGTTGAGAAACGTGATCTTCCTGAAGGACGCTGGATGAAAGCAAGTTTCACAAATGTTATTGAAACCAATTTTACTGTCACTGGGCTGACAGAAGGTGCCAAGTACGACTTCAGGGTAATTGCAAAGAATGCAGTTGGCACTATCAGCAAACCATCATACAACAGTGGACCTATTGCTGCATTGGATGAGGTAGAGCCACCAAAGTTCTCTATTGACCCAGAATACACTCAGACTCTAATTGTGAATGCGGGAGATACATTCAAACTTGATGCTGATGTTTATGGTAAGCCACTTCCTGCAATCCAGTGGTTTAAGAATGACAAGGAGCTTGAAAACACAATTAGATGTGACATCAGGAACACTGACAACAGAGCATTGATTATAGTAAAAGATGCAGTCAGACAAGATGGTGGAAACTACACTCTTCAGCTCACTAATGTTGCTGGATCTCAGACCGTTCAATTCCATGTTAAAGTCCTTGATAAACCAGGTCCACCAGAAGGGCCTCTTCATGTCACAGGCGTGTCCAGTGATAAATGCACACTGATATGGCATGCTCCACTAGATGATGGAGGAAACACTATCACTCATTACATTATTGAGAGACGTGAGACAAGTCGACTTGCTTGGACTGTGGTCTGTAATGATTGCAAAACTACAACATACAAAGTGACAAAGCTCCTGGAAGGCAACGAATATATATTCCGTGTCATGGCTGTGAACAGTTACGGTGTTGGGGAGCCAATTGAGGCACCATCCGTAATAATGAAAGATCCATTTAGTCAACCTGGATCACCACAAATGATCGAAGTAACAAATATTGCAAAGGACTCTATGATTATTTGCTGGAGTGCACCAGATACTGATGGTGGAAGTGAAATTCTTGGTTACATCATTGAGAAGAGAGACAGATCTGGAATTAGATGGACAAGGTGCAACAGAAAAAAAGTAACTGATGTATGCTTCAGAGTGCATGGCCTAATTGAGGATCATGAGTATGAATTCAGAATGTCAGCTGAAAATGCAGCTGGAATTGGAGAACCAAGCTTGCCAACTTCATACTACAAGGCTTGTGATCCCAAATACAAACCTGGCCCACCCATGCATGCACATGTTGTTGATACCACCAAGACTTCAATTACAGTGGCATGGGGAAAACCCCTTAATGATGGAGGATGTGCAATTCAAGGATATATTGTAGAGATCTGCAAAGCTGAAGAGGAAGAATGGACTATGTGCACTCCCCCTACTGGCTTACGTGTCAACAAATTTGAAATCACTAAGCTAACAGAACAACAAGAATATAAGATTCAAATATGTGCCATCAATAAATTAGGTGTTGGAGAACCTGCAGTTATTCCAGGAACTGCCAAGCCTGAGGACAAGCTGGAGACCCCTGAAATTCACCTTGATTCAGAGCTAAGGAAAGGCATTGTTGTTCGTGCAGGAGGATCAATAAGAATCAATGTACCATTCAAAGGTAGACCAATACCAGATATCAAATGGACTAAAGACGAAGGTGAACTGTCAGAAAAGACAGTGCTTGAAAAGGGTCTTAACTTCACCCAGCTTTCAATTGACTCCTGTGATAGAAGGGACTCTGGAAAATACACTGTTACTCTACAGAACAGCAGTGGCTCTGTATCTGAATTTGTGGCTGTTAAAGTGTTAGATACACCTGGAGCACCACTAAACCTCGTAATAAAGGATATCAAGAAGGACTCTGTTACACTTGTTTGGGAACCACCACTTATTGATGGAGGTGCAAAGATCAAGAATTATATTGTTGACAAGCGTGAATCCACAAGAAAAGCCTATGCAAATATAACAACCAAGTGCAGCAAAACAACTTATAAGGTGGAAGATCTTGCAGAGGGGGCCATGTATTATTTCAGAGTTATGGCTGAAAATGAATACGGTGTTGGTTTGCCGGTTGAAACAAAAACTGCTTCAAAGGCATCTGAAGTACCTCAGCCAGTTGGAAAGGTGATGCTGACGGATGTGACAAAAGTAAGTGCATCTCTGGCCTGGGAAAAGCCAGAGCATGATGGAGGTAGTAGGATTGCGGGCTACTTGATTGAAATGCAGCCGAAAGGAACTGACAAATGGGGTGTAGCAGCAAATGTAAAAACATGTGAGGGAATAGTCACTGGACTGACTGGCGGTCAGGAATATTTGTTCCGTGTTTTGGCATACAATGAGAAAGGCAAAAGTGAGCCAAAGACCCTTGCTGCTCCAGTTATTGCCAACGACCTCACAATTGAACCAAGCCTAAAGTTGCAGTTCAATACATATAGCGTCAAATCTGGAAAGGATTTCAAACTTGAAATACCTATTTTTGGACGTCCAAAACCAAAGATCACTTGGTCAAAGGATGGACAGTCACTTAAAGTAACATCCAGAGTTACTACTTTCTTAACACCAACATCCACAATCCTGCAGATTACTGAAGCCTGTAAAGATGACCTTGGAAAGTATACAGTTACCGCAACAAACAGTGTTTGTGCAGTTACAGAAGATATCAGTATCATAATCCTGGATAAACCTGGTCCACCCACAGGACCAATAAAAGTGAATGAAGTGAGCAACAATTCTGTTTCCATCTCATGGGAACCTCCGGAGTATACAGGAGGCTGCCAAGTAAAGCATTATATTGTTGAAAAGCGAGACACCACTGAAACTACTTGGCAAGTAGTTGCTGGATCAGTTGCCAGGACATCCCTCAAAATTACCAAGCTGAAAACAGGTGCTGAGTATCAGTTTAGAGTCATTGCTGAGAACAGATATGGTAAGAGTGCTCCTTTGGATTCAAAGTCCATTGTTGTGCAGTATCCTTACAAACCACCTGGTCCACCTGGTACTCCATATGTGAAATCTGCCACCAAGGATCAAATGATAATTGAGTGGAATGAACCAGTCAGTGATGGTGGCAGTTCAGTGATTGGATACCACCTTGAGAGCAAAGAAAGAAGTAGTATTCTATGGACAAAACTAAACAAAACACTTATTACTGATACTGTTTTCAAAATATGCAATCTTGAAGAAGGCATTGGTTATGAATTCAGGGTATATGCTGAAAACATTGTTGGTATTGGCAGAGCAAGCAAAGTTTCAGAGAGCTTTGTTGCCCGTGATCCATGTGATCCACCTGGAACACCTGAGGCTGTTACAATATCAAAGGACCACATTAAGATTCAGTGGACAAAGCCTCAATATGATGGTGGCAGCAAAGTGACTGGATATATTGTTGAGAGAAGAGATTTGCCTGAGGGCCGATGGATGAGGGCAAATTTTACCAATGTAATTGAGACAGAATTTACAATCACAGGCTTAACGGTAAACAATCAATATGAATTTAGAGTAATTGCAAGAAATGCAGTGGGTGTCTTCAGCGAGCCTTCAGACAGCACTGGACCAATTACTGCTACAGATGAAATTGAACCTCCTAGTGTTTCAATGGATCCTAAGTACAAGGATGTCATTGTTGTCAGTGCTGGAGACAACATAGTTTTGGATGCAGATATACACGGTAAACCAACACCTGATATTCAGTGGCTAAAAGAAGGAAAGGAAATGGATAAGATATTGCGTATTGAAGTAAGAATTACTCAAAAATATGCTTCCATTACAATAAAAGATTGTACAAGATTGGATGGTGGAGACTATGACCTTGTATTAAGTAACTGTGGTGGAACAAAATCAATTCCAATAAAAGTAAAAGTTCTTGACAGACCAGGTCCACCAACCGGACCATTACGAGTGACTGGCATCATGTCTGACAAATGTCATCTGTCCTGGTCTGAGCCCTTGCAGAATGGTGGAGCTAATATATCTCATTATATCCTTGAGAAAAGGGAAACTAGCAGACTATCATGGACTGTTGTTGATTCTAACATTCCTAGTGTAAATTATAAGGTGACCAAGCTCCTGCCAGGTGATGAGTATATCTTTAGAGTTATGGCTGTCAACAAATATGGCATTGGTGAACCTCTAGAATCTGAGGCAATTATTGCACGCAATCCATACAAGCCACCAAGTGTGCCATCAACACCAGAAGCAAGTGAGATAACAAAGGATTCAATAACTCTATCATGGAATGCCCCAGAGAGTGATGGTGGAGCAGAAATTAAGTGTTATCACTTAGAGAAGCGTGACAAAGATGGTGTGAGGTGGACAAAATGCAACCGACAGAAGCTGACCGATCTGCATTTCAAAGTAACTGGTCTGTCAGAGGGACATTTCTATGAGTTCCATGTGTCTGCTGAAAATGAAGCTGGTGTGGGAGAATTTAGTGATCTATCTCTGTTTTATAGAGCAATAAATGCCACAACTCCCCCAGGTCCACCTCATCATCCTAAAGTGACAGATCACACAAGCTCATCTGTCTCTCTGTCTTGGGGAAAACCTGCTACTGATGGTGGTGCATATATTAAAGGTTATATTGTTGAGATGAAAGAGGTTTCTTCAGAGGAATGGATCATATGCACACCCCCAGCTGGTATTCAAGCAACACGCCTCACAGTTGAAAGCCTGAAGGAAAATGCTGAATATAACTTCCGTGTTTGTGCAATTAATTCTGAAGGAGTTGGTGAACCTGCTGATGTTCATGGATCAGTGACTGCATCTGAAAAGATTGAAGCACCTGAGATTGAACTTGATGCTGACCTCAGGAAAGTTGTCTCTGTTCGTGCAGGAGGATCCCTTCGTCTTTTCATTACAATTAGAGGTCGACCTGAGCCATCCGTCAAATGGGAAAAGGAGGATGGGACTCTAACTGAGCGTGCTCAGATTGAATCCACCAGTTCATACACCATGCTTGTAATTGACAATGTCAGTAGATTTGACAGTGGAAAATATAACTTGACTCTTGAGAACAAGAGCGGCACAAAATCTGCATTTGTGAATGTCAGGGTGCTTGATACACCAAGTTCTCCACAGAAGTTTGAAGTGAAAGATGTAAAGAAAGATTCAGTAACTCTCTGCTGGGACACACCGCTTACAGATGGTGAGGCTAAAATAACCAATTATGTGGTTGAAAAGCGAGAATCTACAAGAAAAGCTTATACAACTGTCACAAGCAACTGCACACAGACTTCCTTTAAAGTTGATGAACTGCAGGAAGGAGGAATTTTCTACTTCCGTGTATGTGCTGTTAATGAGTATGGCTTTGGTGTGATGGCAGAAACAAAGAATCCTATTAAGGTTGCACAGGTACCAATGCCTCCAGGAAAAGTAACTCTTGTGGATGTCACGAAGAATAGTGTGACACTTACTTGGGTTAAGCCTGTCCACGATGGAGGGAGCAAAATCATCTGCTACAATGTAGAGATGCAACCCAAGAGTAGTGACAAATGGGGTGTAAGCTGCACAGTTAAGGTTCCAGAGGCAACTGTGAGCAACCTCACGCCTGGTGAAACATACTCATTCAGGGTTATTGCACTGAATGAGAAGGGCAAGAGTGAGCCTCAAGAACTTGGTGTACCTGTTGTAGCTAAAGATATTGAGATTGAACCCTCTGTTCATCTGCTGTTCAATACATACAGTGTTAAGGCTGGAGAAGATCTTACTGTGGAAGTTCCTGTGAGAGGCAGGCCTAAGCCAGTTGTCTCTTGGAAGAAGGATGGCCTTCCTTTGAGGCAAACAACCTCTCTTTCAATTGTCAACACGATGGTGTCAAGCAAAATTGTCATCAAAGAAGCTGCTATTGAACATGTTGGTAAATATGAAATCACTCTTGCTAATACAGCAGGCACCAAGTCCACAGACATTGGCATTGTTGTTCTTGATAAACCTGGGCCACCAGCTTCAGTGAAGGTTGATGCTGTGACTTCTGACAGTATTACATTGTCATGGGCCCCTCCAGAATATGATGGTGGATGCTCCATCAATAATTACATTGTTGAGAAGAGAGATACTAACACAACAGAGTGGCAGATTGTTTCAACAAATGTTGCCAGAACCTCAGTCAAAGTACCTCGATTGACACAGGGTTCTGAGTACCAGTTCCGCATCTATGCAGTGAATCGTTATGGAAAGGGTAAGCCAATTGACTCTCCAGGAATTACTGCAGAGTACACATTTAAACAGCCTGGCCCACCTTCTACGCCCCGTGTTGCTCATGCCACCAAGGTTTTCATGCTCGTCACATGGAATGAGCCAGTTAATGATGGTGGTAGCACAGTCCTTGGCTATCATTTAGAACGCAAGGAGAGAAGCAGTATTCTTTGGACAAAGGTGAACAGGACAATAATCAAGGATACTGAATTCAAAGTAACTGGAATTGAGGAAGGTATGATGTATGAATTCCATGTCTATGCTGAAAATATTGCTGGAATTGGCAAAGCAAGCAAAGCCAGTGAGCCCATAGCTGCACGAGATCCCTGCGATCCTCCTGGTCAGCCTGTGGTAACTAGCATTACCAAATCCTCTGTTTCTCTTTCTTGGACCAAGCCTGAGTATGACGGTGGAGCCAAAGTTACTGGCTACATAATTGAGCGTAGAGATCTTCCAGAGGGTCGCTGGATAAGATGCAATTTTACCAATGTTGTAGAGACTTATTTTGATGTTACTGGCCTAACATTGGATGAGAAATATGATTTCCGTGTCATCGCAAAGAATGCTGCTGGACTATTCAGTGAGCCATCTGATAACACTGGTCCTATTACAGTTAAAGATAATGTAGATCCACCACGCATTATGATGGATGTCAAGTTCAAGGATGTTGTGGTAGTAAAAGCTGGGGAAACCCTGAAGATTAATGCTGACATTGCAGGGCGCCCTCTTCCAGTTGCATCTTGGTCAAAGGATGGACATGAAATTGAACAGAAGGCAAGAATTCAGATAACTGGAACAGATACTAGTACTATGATAGTAGTTAAAGACTGCAAAAGGAGTGATTCTGGACAGTACGCTTTGACTTTAAAGAATGTTGCAGGAAGTGTCACAACACCAGTAAACTGTGTTATTCTGGATAAACCAGGACCTTCAGCAGGACCACTATCAGTAACAGGCCTCACAGCAGAGGAGTGCACACTGTCATGGGGACCACCACAAGAAATTGGTGGCTCTGAAATAACACATTATATTGTTCAGAAACGAGAGACCAGTCGATTGGCATGGACACTTGTACATGGAGAGGTCAAAACTACAACATTCAAGGTCACTAAGCTCCTAAAAGGAAATGAATACATATTCAGAGTATTAGCTGTCAACAAATTTGGACTTGGTGAAGCCCTTGAAAGTGAAATGGTCAAGGTCACTGAACCATACACTATCCCAGGAGCTCCAACAAATGTTGAAATTACAAGTGTGACCAGTGAGGAAATGAAGCTAACTTGGACAAAACCTGCATCTGATGGAGGCAGCGAGATCCTTGGATATATAATTGAAAGGCGAGAGAAATCTGGTCTTCACTGGGTCCGTGTGAACAGGGACCTTGTGAAAGACCTAACAGCTGTAATATCAAAAGTAAGAAGAGGATGTGAGTATGAGTTTAGGGTTTATGCTGAAAATTCAGCAGGCTTGAGTCCAGCCAGTGACCCATCTCCTTCAGCAAGGGCAGAGGATGAACTGTTGGTACCATCCCCACCAACTAAACCTAAGATTCTGGATCATACCAAGAATTCTATTACTATTGCCTGGAAAAAGCCATTATCTGATGGTGGTGCACAGATCCTCGGATACAGTGTAGAATATAAGAATTCTGAGGTTACAGAATGGATTGTGGCTATTCAGATGACAAAAAGCAATGAATTCACAGTTTCTGGTCTTACAACTGATGTACAGTATGTATTTGCTGTTAAAGCAATCAACAAAGTTGGTGTCAGTGAACAGTCGCCTGTCTCTGAGTCACAGTCAGCAACGGAGAGAAAGGAGGAACCTGTATTTGACATTGACATTGAGATGCGAAAAACTTTAATTGTCAAGCATGGTAATTCATTCACTTTGACGGCTCCATTTAAAGGAAAGCCAGTGCCTTCAGTTACATGGAATAAAGAGGAGGTCGATCTCAAAGCAAGGGCAAGCATAGAAACAACAGAAACATGCACATCTGTTACTATTGAGAAAGCAACACGAAATGACTCTGGACAATACATTGTTACTTTGGACAATGGTGTTGGAACAGCATCTTTGCCAGTGATGATCAAAGTCCTTGATACCCCTGGACCACCAACTAATGTGAAAATTACTGAAGTCACAAAAGATTCTGCTACAGTTACTTGGGAACCTCCAGAGAATGATGGAGGAGATGCTGTTAAGGCTTATCATGTTGAGAAACGTGAAGCAAGCAAAAAGGCTTGGGTATGCGTAACAAGCAACTGTCACAGTCTGACATACAGGGTTGAAGACTTGCAAGAAGGTGCAATCTACTACTTTAGAGTCACTGGAGAAAATGAGTTTGGAACAGGTGTAACTGCTGAAACTAAAGATGGAACCAAGATAACAGGTACAATTATGTCCATGTTTATTTGTCTGAAAATGAGAAAATAATAGGTTTCAGAAAAACTTTATTCATTTTGTGTTTTAAATATGATTTCAACTTTGCACCAACAGAAAAACCAAGTCCACCTGCTAGGCTTGGCGTTTCTGCAGTAACAAAGAATACCGTCACCATTGCATGGTCAAAACCAGAGTATGATGGTGGAAGCCGAATTACCAGCTACCTCATTGATGCCCTTGAAAAGGGCCAACAGAAGTGGGTTAAATGTGCCACTGTTAAAGCCAACACCCACATTATTAAGAACCTAAGGGAAAATGCAGAATACTTTTTCAGAGTTCGTGCTGAGAATCATGCTGGACTTAGCGAACCAAAAGAAATGATTATTCCTGTGGTTGTGAAAGATCAACTTGGTGAGTGTTAATTCATTCAATTCATTCCATGTTTATCATATTTAAATAATCTATTAATGTTGTACGTCCATTTCCTTTGACTATTATTTACAGATGCGCCTGAGTTTGATATGAAGAATTTCCCACATAACAGTGTTTATGTGAGGGCAGGATCAAATCTTAAATTTGAGCTTCCTCTCTCGGGTAAACCAATGCCAAAAGTCACAATGTCAAGAGGCAATGCTCCAGTTAAGTGCGGCAAGAGATTTAGCTATGAAGTAACCCCTGAAAGTCTCAATATCAACCTCAAGGAAAGCACTGCAAGTGATGCTGGAAGATATGACATTGTTGCCTCAAACACAAGTGGAACCACCAAGATGTTTGTAAATATACTGGTCCTGGATAGACCAGGTCCTCCAGTCGGTCCTGTTGAAGTTAGTGATGTGAGGGAGACAAGCTTGTGTCTCAAATGGCTCCCACCTGTGTATGATGGTGGCAGTCCTGTTACAAACTATGTTGTTCTTAAACGTGAAACAAGTACTCCAGCCTGGACAGAAGTGTCTTCCACAATTGCAAGAAGCACTGTTAAAGTCACCAAACTGACAAAGGGAGAAGAATACCAGTTCAGGGTTAAAGCTGAGAATCGCTTTGGCATCAGTGATCACATTGATTCTCAGTCAGTTACAGTGAAGCTTCCATACAGTGAGTACATAGATAATGTACATAATGTGCAATTGCTTCTAGTTATGTCTGAATTTCTGTTAAACCTCTGCTGGTTTATTGTATTTTTAGCTATACCTGGACCACCATCAACACCATGGCTGGGTTATGTGTCAAGGGAGAGCCTCACTGTTTGCTGGAATGAGCCAGTAGTAGATGGAGGAAGCCCAGTGGTTGGATACCATGTCCAAATGAAAGAAAGCAGCAGCATTCTTTGGCAGACAGTGAACAAAACAGCAATCCCTGCAACTCAAATTAGAGTGACAAATATATGTCCTGGAATGATTTACGAATTCAAAGTAGCTGTAGAAAATGCAGCTGGCATTGGAAAGTTCAGCAAGACATCAGAAGAAGTGCTAGCAATTGATGCCTGTGGTAAGTTTTAATAATACAAATAATAATATATAAACTAAGTTGATACGTTGTCAAGTTTCTCTGAATTTCATTGCCAAATAACAAATCATTGTTTTGTTTTAGAACCACCGGCAAATGTGAGAATTTCTGAGGTTACAAAAAATTCAATTAGCCTTGTATGGCAGAAGCCTCCATTTGATGGTGGAAGCAAAATCACTGGCTACATGGTTGAGCGAAGAGATGCTCCAAATGGCAGATGGACAAAGGCAAACTTTACCAATGTCATTGATACTAACTTCACTGTATCAGGCTTGACTCAGGATCAGGCATATGAATTCAGGATTTTTGCAAAGAATGCAGTTGGCTCGATCAGCAATCCATCTCTAATTGCAGGACCAGTAACTTGTGTCGACATTTCTGGTAAGTTTATTGCTGCTACTTTGTTGGATATCTCATGTTATCATGCCCAGCAATACTATTCACACTTTATTACACACGGTTCTGTTTCCTCCCATTCTTAGGTGCTCCAGTAATTGACCTGCCCCCAGAGTATTTGGATGTTGTGCAATACAAAGCTGATACATCATTCAAAATCAAAGTGGGAATATTTGCTAAACCCTTGCCAACTATTGAATGGCTTAAAGATGAAAAGGAGCTAGTGTCAAGTGCACAGCTGTCAATTGAGAACACAACTGACTCATCTGCCATCCTCATTAAGGATGCTAGTCGTCTTAATACTGGAACCTATGAGCTCAAAATCAAGAATGTGTTTGGCACAGCGTCTGCTTCTATCAGAATACAGATTTTGGGTATGTAATCATTTGTGCCAAAAAAATATATAAATGTAATTTCAATGTCTTTTTCACCTCTTTATTTCCTCATTGTAAATTTATAAACATTTTCATTCTGTAAATAGACAAACCTGGACCTCCAGCTGGACACATTGAATTCAAATCAGTCTCTGCTGACAAGATAACAATTGCATGGGAACCAGTGGCTGATGAAGGAGGCGCCAAAGTAACTCATTACATTGTAGAAAAACGAGAGACAAGTAGAGTAGTGTGGTCCCCAGTTTCTGAAGCAATGGAAGCACGTACTGTCACTGTCCAAAAGTTGACCAGAGGAAATGAATACATATTCCATGTCAGAGGTGTTAACAAATTTGGAGCTGGAGATCCTCTGGAGTCTGAGCCTGTAATTGCCAAAAATGCATTTGGTAAGGAGACAGTAACTGAAAATCAAAATTATTAAATCATATAATGTATAGTGTTGGTAAACCAGATAATATAACATTACAAATACACTATTTATTAAGTCAATTATTATTATTGTTTTTAGTTACTCCTGGACAAACTTCTACACCTGAAGCAACAGATATCACCAGAACATCAATGCAGATTGTTTGGGATAAACCAAGTGTGGATGGTGGTAGCATGGTTACAGGATACTATCTGGAGAGACGTGACAAGAAGAGCCTGCGCTGGGTAAAAGTGTACAAGGACCCCATTAGTGACACCAAAGCAAAGGCCCATCATCTCACAGAAGGAAATGAATATCAGTATCGTGTATGTGCAATCAATAAAGCTGGGGAAGGTCCATACTCTGATGTTTCTGACTTGTACAAAGCTGCTGATCCAGTTGGTATGTATTACTTTTTCATTTTACTGAAATGTTCATTTTACTAAATTCATATTTAATTAAGAGTCTAACTGCCTTGACAAAGATCTAACCAAGCTTTGTAAATTCTCCTAAGACCCACCATGTGAACCAACTAAGCTCAAGGTAGTGGACTCAACTAAAACATCAATCACACTTGGATGGTCAAAGCCAGAGTATGATGGAGGCAGTGAAATCACCAGCTATGTTGTAGAAAAAAGAGTTGGTGAGGAAGGGGAGTGGACAGTGATTAGCCATAAGGGAGAAGTGAGAACCACAGAGTATGTTGCCTCAGACCTTAAACCAGATATTGACTACTACTTCCGTGTATCGGCTGTTAATTGTGCTGGACGTGGAGACCCAATAGAAATGGAAGAGCCAGTACAAGCCAAGGACATTCTTGGTATGTACTTATGTTGAAATGCTTGTTATATCTTTGTACATTTTATAACAATATTTTCCGCTTGTAACAACAGCATAAATAATTTGAATTATTATTTTGCAGAGGAAGCCCAGGTTGATACGGATGTTGCAATGAGAACTCACTACATTGTGAAAGCTGGTAAAGATGTTGAAATCATGGTGCCCCTGAAAGGCAGACCTGCTCCAAGTGTCTCTTGGAAGAAGGAAGACCAAAACATTGACAATGATCCTAAATATGACATTCACAACACAGACACGTCATCGTGTCTCATAATTACACAAGTAACTCGAAATGACACTGGTAAATACACCATTAATATATCAAATGGTGTAGGAGAACCAAAGTCCTTAACTGTGTCTGTTAAAGTACAGGACACTCCAGCTGCTTGTAGGAATTTGATTTTGAAAGACGTCACTCGTGGGAAAGTTACACTTTGCTGGGAGCCTCCTCTACTGGATGGTGGCGCTGAAATTACCAATTATGTTGTTGAGAAAAGAGACTCTTCTAAGCGTACATATGCCTGTGTAACAAATAAGTGCAAGGAAACCACATGTGTAATTGAAGAACTCTCTGAGAAAGCATCATTCTTCTTCCGTGTATTAGCCGAAAATGAGAATGGCGTTGGAGATCCATGTGAAACAGCAGAGCCAGTTAAAGCCACAGAGACACCAGGACCAGTCAAAGACCTTTCTATGAAAGACTCCACAAAGACTTCAGTAACACTACAATGGAACAAACCAGATTATGATGGTGGTAGCATTATTACAGACTATATAATTGAAAATAAACTCCAAGGTCAAGAAGAATGGGCCCCTGCTGGCACAAACAAGCACTGTGAACATGAAGTAACAAAGCTTAAGGAACTCACTGAAATGTTTTTCAGAGTTTGTTCCAAGAATGAAAAGGGTACTAGTGTCTTTGTTGAAATCGGACCAATTAAAGTAAAGGACTACATTATCTCACCAGAAGCAAACCTTGAAGAGTATCCTGATGGACAAATCAGTGTACGTTTGGGACACAATGTTCACGTTGAATTGCCATACAAGGGTAAACCAAGACCAACCATTCTTTGGTTAAAGGACAATTTACCACTGAAAGAGAGTGAAAAAATACGCTTCAAGAAGACTGAAAACAAAGCCACTCTTATGATAAAAAATGTGGAGAAAGAGAATGGAGGCAAATACACACTTACTCTTGACAACACATTCTTCAGAAAATCTTTTCATATACAGGTTATTACCCTTGGACCACCCTCTAAACCTATTGGACCCATCCGCTTGGATGAGGTCAGAGCAGAAAGTATAGCTATATCTTGGGATGAGCCAAATGATAATGGGGGTGGAGAAATCACTTGTTACACTGTTGAGAAACGTGACACCTCTCAGACAGACTGGAAAATGGCTTGTTCAAGTGTGATTGGAACATCATTTAAGGTACCCAATCTGATCAAGGGAATTCAATATCAGTTCAGAGTCTGTGCAGAGAATAGATATGGTGCAAGTGAACCTTTAGTTTCACAAAATGTCATTGCCAAGCATGAGTTCAGACCACCTGGCCCACCAGGCATGCCAGTGGTTTACAATGTTACAAATGATGGAATGACTATTCATTGGGATGCACCTATTTTTGATGGAGGTTGTCCAATCCTTGGGTTCCATGTTGAAAAGAAGGAGAAGAACAGCATAATGTGGCAAAAGGTCAACATAGTCTTGGTCAAAGAAAGGGAGTACAGGATTCCTGGTCTTATTGAAGGCTTGGAATATCAGTTCAGAGTCTACGCCCAGAATGACGCTGGATACAGTCGCATGAGTGATGCAAGCAAACCTGTTATGGCTGTTTCTCCAGTTGGCAAGTTCAACTTTTAGGCTTATTTTTTCACATAGATATTTCACATTTTAAATATATTACAGTTGACAGTGTCTAAATAGTAAATAACATATGTATTTCAATTTCAGATCCTCCTGGTACCCCTGACTACGTTGATGTAACAAGTGAATCAGTTAAACTGAAATGGGAAGCACCCAAGCGTGATGGTGGAAGCAAAATTGTTGCCTATAATGTGGAAAAACGACAGGGCAAAGGACGGTGGTTAAAGACCAATTTTTCAAATGTGACTGACACAGAATTTACAGTGACTGGTCTTGCTTGCGGTGAACGCTATGAATTTAGAGTCATAGCAAGAAATGCTATCGGCACAGTGAGCCCACCCTCTCAGTCTTCTGGATATGTCTTAATCAGAGATGAGAGCTGTAAGTACACACAGTTTATATTGTGTTTTTCGTTGTTCAACATTTTTATATGGAATTTTTATGCTGGTCTGTACATCTTAAATTCATAATCTGATCTCTTTCAGTTTCTCCAAACATTGAGTTTGGACAGGAATACTTTGAGGGAGTCTCTATTAAAGCTGGAGAAATCATCAGGCTAAAAGTAACAATCAAAGGAAGACCAACACCAAAAGTTACCTGGTACAGAGATAATATTGAATTAACCAAGAAAATGGTTGATATCACAACAATTTCTGGATCAAGTACCCTCTTTATCAGAGATGCTGACCGTAGTCATCGCGGTCTTTATACTGTGGAAGCCATAAATCCCTCAGGATCTAAAAAGGAATCAGTGAAAGTTGAAGTCTTTGGTATGAATAATGTTTGTACCTTATTCCTGTTATTTATTCATTCCACCATTTAATCACTATATTTTCTTAAGATTCACATCTTTAACCTATGCTTCTATAATTTATATCTTTTAGATACACCTGGTGAACCTGTTGGACCAATCATATTCTCAAATATATCTGAGGGCAAAGTAACACTTTCATGGAATCCACCTGAGAATGATGGTTGTTCTGAGGTCACTCATTACATTGTTGAGAAACGTGAAACCTCTAAAATTTCATGGGCACTTGTTACGGATGAGTGCTTGGCAAGCACATACACTGCCACCAAACTGATAAAGACAAATGAGTATCAGTTCCGTGTTTCTGCAGTCAATAGGTTTGGTGTTAGCAGACCACTGGATTCAGTTCCCGTGATCGCACAGATGCAATACAGTAAGATAATAAAAAGCTTATAATGAAATATATTTTTTCTCAAAGTTTATGTAAAACACTGTAAAAAATCTTTCTGTAATTTCTTCCTTTTTCATCCCTGCAGCTGTTCCAGATTCTCCTGGAACTCCAGATGCAACAGATGTTGACGGAGAGAGTATCACAATCAACTGGGCTCCGCCAACACATGATGGTGGAAACCCAATAAAATATTACATTGTGGAAAGACGTGAAAAGAAGACTGGTCGCTGGCTGAAAGTCCTAACAAGGAAACCCATTGTTGAGGCTGCACACAGAGTGACTCATCTCACTGAGAATGTGGAGTATGAATTCCGTGTGTATGCTGTAAATGATGCTGGAATTGGAGCACCAAGCAACATTTCAATGCCAATTAAATGTGCAGAGCCAACTGAAGAACCTGATGCCCCATCTATTGTCAATGTGACTGGCACTACCAATACATCTGTCAGCTTGGAATGGACCAGACCTGCCTATGATGGTGGTATGGAAATCCATGGCTACATTATTGAGATGTGCAAGGTATCTGAAGCGGAATGGCACAGAGTCAATGAGGATCTTTGTGCTGTCACAAGATACAATGTCACTGGTTTGGAAACTGGTGCAGAGTACAAGTTCCGTATTTGTGCAGTCAATTCTGTTGGAAAGGGCGAAGCCAAAGAAATACCTGAGTCTGCACAGGCAGTAGACAGGCTCTTGGCACCAGAAATTGACATAGATGCATCCTTCAAACAGACACATATTGTGAAAAGTGGTGGAAGTATATGTATCCGTATTGGCTTTAAGGGAAAGCCAACACCTACAGCTTCCTGGACAAAAGTAGATGGAGAACTTGGTGTTATGACAGACATCACCACCACTGAGACATTCACAGCCTTGACACTGGAAAACTGCACTAGAAATGATACTGGAAAATATACTCTCACTCTTGAGAACAGTAGTGGCAATACATCTATCACTGTTGCAGTCAAAGTGTTGGACACACCTGGTGTACCAGGGGCTCTCTCCATTAAGGAAGTCACAAGAGGAGTTCTCACAATTGCTTGGGAACCTCCTACAAATGACGGTGGTGCACGTGTTCATCATTACATTGTTGAGAAGCGTGAGGCAAGCCGTCGTACATGGACGGAGGCAGCACCCAAGACCACTCAAACAAGCTTGAGAGTTTCTGATCTCCTGGAAGGTGTACCTTATTTCTTCAGAGCTATGGCTGAGAATCAGTATGGTCTTGGTGAAGCGTATGAAATGTCTGATCCAGTTATTGCCACAGCTGAACCTGCTCCACCAAAGAGAGTTGATATCATTGATACAACTGACACATCAGCAACCCTGGCCTGGCTCAAGCCAGAGCATGATGGAGGAAGCCGTATCACAGGCTATTGTGTAGAATCCAAGGGAAAAGATGCAGATAAATGGGTTGTTTGTGGTACAACAAAAAATCTAAGCCTTGTAATTGAAGGACTTACAGAGAACAGTGAGTATGAATTTCGTGTCAAGGCAAAGAATGATTCTGGCTTCAGTGTGCCAAGAGAAGCTTTCTCCTCAGTCATCATTAAAGAGCCACGAATTGAACCTACTGCCGATCTCAGTGGTATTACCAACCAACTCATTACTAGCAGGATTGGCGAATCTTTTGAGATTGATGTTCCAATTAGTGGAAGACCAGCTCCAAAGGTATCCTGGAAACTTGAGGAAATGAGACTGAAAGAAACTGACAGGGTTTCAATCAAGACTAACAAAAACAGGACCACTCTCACAGTTAAAGACTGCATGAGAGGTGATGGAGGCAGATATTTCCTCACCCTTGAGAATGTCACTGGGCCAAAGACTTTCACTGTCACTGTCAATGTTATTGGCAGACCAAGCCCTCCAGAGGGCCCTATTGAGATTTCCTCAATTACATCAGAGTCATGCATACTGTCTTGGAATCCACCTGAAGATGACGGTGGCACAGACATCACAAACTACATTGTTGAGAAGCGTGAATCTGGCTCCACTGCTTGGCAGCTTATTAACTCAAGTGTAAAACATACTTCTTTCCATGTTTCACATCTAACTAAATACATGCAGTATACTTTCCGTATCTGTGCTGAAAACCGTTTTGGTGTGAGCAAACCAACAGAATCTGAGACGATTGTTGCAGAGCATCCATTTGGTATGTAATAGCTAATAAGAAATTAGTATTTTTGAGATACTGTATAAATGATCAAATATCAAATATTTAATTATGTTTTCATTTTCACAGTTCCTCCAGGCCCTCCAACAAGGCCAGAAGTGTTCGCTGTAACTGCCAACAGCATGAGCATTCGTTGGGAGGAACCGTACCATGATGGTGGCAGCAAAGTCTCTGGATACTGGATTGAAAAGAAGGAGCGTAACACAATTCTCTGGGTGAGAGAAAACAAGATTCCCTGCTTTGAATGCTACTACAAGGTGGAAGGCCTTGTTGAGGGTCTTGAATACCAGTTCAGAGTGTATGCAATGAATAGCGCTGGCCTCAGCAAAGCAAGTGAAGCATCAAAAAGAGCTGTGGCACAAAATCCAGTTGGTAAGTACATCACAATCAAAAAGTAATTAATTACGGTCTAGATCGGCAAAACAATACTTACATGTATTCTTTGATGATACAAATTTATAGATCCTCCAGGAAAACCAGAAGTTAAAAATGTATCAAGATCAACAGTCTCAATCAAATGGTCTGTGCCCCTAAACGATGGTGGAAGCCCGATTACAGGCTACATTGTTGAGCGCAAGCCTTATACTGTCACTGGAGAAGGTCGCTGGCTTAAGTGTAACTACACTAATGTTACCGACACAAATTTCACTATCACTGCATTGGGAGAAGGAGAGGAATATGAATTCCGTGTAATTGCCAAAAATGCAAATGGAGTGTTGAGCCTGCCATCAGTTTCAACAGGACCAGTGACCTGCAAAGCAGAATACAGTATGTATCATACATGGTTCTTTCACTAAACGAGACAAATATTTTTTATTAATGAGAACCTAAATAATTTAACTCATGACACTTAAATTATTTTGCAGTTCCTCCTAAAGCAGAGCTGGACAGCAAACTCCTTGTGGACACAGTTGTAATTAGAGCTGGATCTGATCTGGTGCTGGATGCTGCTGTTGGTGGTAAACCTGAGCCTAAATTCAGCTGGTCCAAGGGCACAAAAGAGCTAGAGCTTTGTGAAAAATATGCTCTCCAGTATTCAAGTACCCGTGCTCTGGCATTCATCAAGTTCTGTGACAGAGATGACACTGGGAAGTATGTTTTGACAGTTAAAAATGCAAGTGGAACAAAAACCGCTGAGGTCAATGTTAAAGTGCTTGGTAAGTGTGCTAAACATACAGCAATAACATACATGAATGGTACCTTCAAGTCCCAAACAAATGGTATCTTCAGTCCCAAATATGTTGTCAGTTTATTCATACTATAATATTTCTTCTTTTACAAGATACACCTGGTCCCTGTCAGGAGATTACAGTCAGCAATATATCTGAGGAAAAATGCACAGTGTCTTGGAAAGAGCCACTGGATGATGGTGGTGACCCCATCACACATTACATTGTTGAACGAAGGGATACCAATAGACTTAACTGGGTTATCATGGAGGCTGAATGCAAAGCCCTAACATGTGAAATTAAAAGACTTTTCAAGAACAACGAATATATCTTCCGTGTGAGAGGTGTGAACAAGTATGGATCTGGTGTGGCAGTACAGTCTACCCCCATCTTTGCCAGAAACTCATTCAGTAAGTGTCATGATTAATATTAAAAACATTAGCTGAGGTATTTTGAAGTGTTGTAAGTTACAATATTCCACCTTCATTTCCAATTACAGCTGTCCCATCACCTCCTGGAGCACCAGAAATCCTTGCAGTTGGAAAAGACTATGCAACGATAGAGTGGCTGAAGCCTGAGAGCGATGGTGGCAGTGAAGTCACAAACTACTTGATTGAGTTCCGTGAAAAAAAGAGTGTTAGATGGATCAAGGTTAACAGAGATTCTGTTCTCAAGGACACATCCTTTAAAATCACTGGTCTCCATGAAGGCAACATTTACCAGTTCCGTGTTACAGCCATGAATGCAGCTGGTGATGGTGAACCTAGTGAAGTGTCAATGTATGCAGTATGTAGAGTACCAACAGGTATGTTTCTGAAACAACCCCATTGTTGACATTTAAATGTGTATATTACTATAGTAACAAATGTTTACCTTATTATGTTAAATCACCATTTTAGGCACTTCAGATCCACCTTCAATTCCACGGGTTACAGACACACACAAAGATAGTATTAGCCTTGCCTGGACACGACCAGTTGAAGATGGAGGTGCTGATGTTATTGGTTACGTTCTTGAGATGCAAGAAGCTGGTGCAGAGGAATGGACAAAAGTGCATGAAAAGAATCTTAGGGTGACAGAACACACAGTTACAGGTCTTTCTGCTGGCAAAAAATACTGTTTCAGAGTTGCAGCTGTCAATGTAAATGGAATGGGTGACTTCAGTGAACCTTGTGCAGAGACTGAGCCTGTGGAAAGAATTGGTATGTTCACACAAATTCCAAATTGTTGTATTCTGTCAAAGTTTGATATGTACAAATGCAAGAAAGAAGCAATGTCCAATATCTTTGTAAGTGTCTTTTCTATTAAACTCTCTTGTTTTGTTTATTTTTTATTTCAGAAATTCCTGACCTTGAGCTGCCTGATGAACTGACAAAGACAATTTGTCTGAGAGCCGGAAGTTCTCTGCGGCTCCATGTTACTGTCACTGGTAGACCAATCCCAACGGTAACCTGGAGCAAACCTGGTGTGGACCTCCAAAATCGTGGCTTTATTGAAGTGACCAATACTGCTACAACTCTCATTATTGACAAGGTGCACCGCTATGATGCTGGAAGATATACAATTGAAGCTTCAAATTCAGCTGGAAAGAAGGATGCAAGCATTCTTGTGAAAATCTATGGTATATTTATTTATCCCAAATTAAATCATGGAAATTATTTAGTGCATATAACAAGGTACCACGAAATGATGTCTAACCAGCATGTTTGTGAATTCTTTTTCAGATACACCTGGTCCAACTGGTCCAATTAAGTTGAAAGAGCTTACAAAAGATTCTGCTCACATTACTTGGGATGCTCCTGAAGTTGATGGTGGAGCACCTGTCAATAATTACATCATTGAAAGACGAGAGGCATCAATGAGAGCATACAAAACTGTCACATCCAAATGCAGCAACACATCATACAAAATAACTGGTCTGACAGAAGGAATGCTCTATTATTTTAGAGTCTTACCAGAGAATATCTATGGTGTTGGTGAACCTTGTGAGACAGGTGATGTTGTGTTGGTCTGTGAAGTTCCACTGCCACCAGCCAAGCTTGAAGTTGTAGATGTAACCAAATCCAGTGTATCACTTGCCTGGGAGAAACCTTTACATGATGGAGGCAGCAGAATTACTGGCTACATTGTTGAGGCTTGTAAAGCTGGTACTGACAAGTGGATGAAGGTGGCAACTTTGAAAATTACAGACTTTGAGTTCACTATCATGTCACTTAATGAGAATGAGCAGTATCTCTTCAGGGTTTGTGCTGTCAACAGCAGAGGAGCTGGTGAGCCAAAAGAAATTGTAACAGCTGTGACAGTTCAAGAACAAAGAGGTATGTATAATCATATTAACAAAAATTACAAGATGCTGTCATTTGTTTGTCATGTCTCACTGTTTATGCCTTTTTTCCTCTTTCAGTCTTGCCAAAGGTTGATCTATCAGCTATTCCACAGAAGACGATAAGTGTTTTGGCAGGCAAACCCCTTGAGCTTGACTTACCAATTATAGGACGACCACCACCAGTTTGTTCTTGGTTCTTCCATGACAATAGGGTAAAGATTGTGGAGCGTGTGAAGATAAAGTCAACTGGAAAATTCTCTAAATTAACCATTCTTGACACTACCATTGATGACAGTGGAGTGTATACACTTGAGTTGAAAAACATAACAGGAGTAACCACTGAAAACATCAAAGTCATCATTCTTTGTAAGTACAGACCCCCTGCATGAAAATAGATATTTTAAAATGGTTGAGTTTGATATTAATCATAAACATCTCTCTCTGTAGCCAAACCTGATGAGCCTCAAGGACCAATCCGATTTGATGAAATTGATGCAACATCAGTCACAATAAGCTGGTATCCACCTACGAGAGATGGTGGTGCACCAATTAGCAACTATGTGGTTGACCAACGTGATGCTCATCGCCCAGGATGGGTTCCTGTGTCAGAATCTGTTTCCAGACCAACATTCAAATTTGTCAGATTGACAGAGGGCGATGAATATGTGTTCCGTGTTGCAGCAACCAATCGCTATGGCACTGGGGATTACTTACAGTCAGAAATCGTAATGTGCAAGAGCTCCAAATGTAAGAAAACATGATTAAATACCATATATATGATATTTACGATTTAGGATATATGTGTATATTCTAGACCTACTTGATCACAATTTCGAATTGTTGTTACAGCCATTCCTGGGCCGCCTGGAAGACCCATTGTATTTGATGTATCACGTGATGGCATGACCGTTGCATGGGAGCCACCAGATGAGGATGGAGGCTTAGAGGTGTCTGGCTATATTATTGAACGCAAGGAGGTCAGATCAGATAGGTGGATCCGTGCTAATAAAAATCCAGTGACAATGACAAGATACAGATCCACTGGATTAATTGAAGGCCTGGAATATGAACACAGAGTGACAGCCATCAATGCCCGTGGTGTTGGCAAACCTAGCCTTCTTTCTAAACCGGCAGTAGCAACTGATCCTGTTGGTAAGCAGAATTTTACTATTAATACATTTGTGTGTGTATAAACTGACACAAAATTGTAATTTTAGTAAATTCAATTATTATCACTTATTAAACAATTACATAAACCCTACAGATCCACCTGGGTCACCTCAAAACCCACGGGTCACAGATACCTCAAAGTCTTCTGTGTCTTTGGCCTGGAGTCCTCCAGATGAGGAGGGTGGTGCTAAGGTTACAGGCTATCTAATTGAGATGCAAAAGGTTGGTTCAGTAACCTGGATGAAGTGTAACACTACACCTTCACTGATCTGTGAATATACCTTGACACAAATGCCGCAAGGAGAAGAATTCAAATTCCGTGTTATGGCTTGCAATGCTGGTGGACCAGGTGAACCAGCTGAAGTACCAGGAGTTGTGACTATAACAGAGATGCTTGGTAAGATCTTATGACCCTGTCATTAACTCCCTGTAGTTACATGTGTGAAATGCTATATGTCTGGAATGATTTAATTATTTGAAATGTGCTGTTTCAGATCCTCCAAGTTATGATCTTGAGGCAAAATACAAAGATGTCCTTGTAGTCAGATCCGGAGGAGTAATCAAACTTTCAGTGCCCATCAAAGGCAAACCTACTCCTACCTGCAAATGGACCAAGGATGGATCAGAGGTGACCAACCGTGCTATGATTGCCTCCAATGAAGACATATCAGAGCTTGTAATCAAACAAGCTGAAAAGTCTGATTCTGGAGTTTACAATCTCCATCTGGAGAACAAGTGTGGCAAAAAAATGCTTGCTATAAAGGTCAAGGTTATTGGCCGCCCATCTGTACCTGAAGGCCTTCTTAGATTTGATGATATACAAGCACATTCTGTAAAAGTTAGCTGGAAACCACCAACAGAAGATGGTGGTTCTGAAATTGTTGGCTACATTGTGGAGAGACGTGAAGTAACAAAAGCAGCTTGGTACACCGTTGACTCGCGAGTGGTTGACACATCCCTTGTGGTTAAGGGACTACAAGAAAATGTTGAATACCACTTTAAGGTGACAGCAGAGAACCAGTTTGGAATAAGCAGCTCACTGAAATCAGAGACAACTGTTGTACCAAAGACTCCCATTTGTAAGTGCTCGTCAGTGATCTCATTTCTAGGCAATACATATTTGTTATTAAACATAAAAGCATTTTCTTTCATTTTTTGTTATTAATATTTAGGTGTCCCAGAGGCTTCAGGCACTCCACCAGAAATTATGGATGTTACTAAGAATTCTGCTGCTTTGGCTTGGACTAAACCCAAAGATGATGGTGGATCTCGCATTACTGGTTACTTCATTGAGTACAAAGAAGTGTCGTCTGATAAGTGGATTCATCATGAGGCAAAGATTACCTCAACAATGTATACTCTTAGTCAGCTCACTACTGATTCTGAGTATCAGTTCCGTGTAATTGCTGTGAATGACATTGGGGAGAGTGAACCAGGACCTGCATCGGATTCAGTAATATGCAAAGATCCATTTGGTTTGTCCTCATTCTTAATTTTCTCTATTCATTAATTGATTTAAAATTATTGTCTTTATTTAATAAAAAAATAACATGTTATTGTATTCTTGATGTATTTAGATAAACCAAGCCAGCCAGGAGAAATTGACATTATGACTGTTACCAAAGACTACATTACAATTAATTGGGAGACTCCAGCATGTGATGGTGGAAAACCAGTCCTTGGCTACTGGATTGAATACCGAAAGTCTGGAGAGACTGCTTGGAAGAAATGCAATAAGGAGCGCACAAAGGACAAACAGTACACTCAGGGTGGTCTACAAGAGGCAACAGAATATGAATTCAGAGTATTTGCTGAAAATGAAACCGGAATTAGCCGACCACGCAGAACAGCAACTGGCATCAAAACTAAACTGGGTGGTAAGTATGGTTTGAAATAACATAAGAAGTACTGTTGAATGTATTATGATTTGTCAGTATCAAATATTTATCCAAATTCATTTTTAGAGGAGAAATTTATTTGACTAAAATCTCACTATAGCTGTCCCTGCTTTTTATTTATTTATTTATTTTCCTAGTTGGAACTAAACCAGCTCTCAGGAAAGAGATGGATGAGGTCACTGCCAAACTAGGACAAACTGCAACTCTCAAATGTCAGATTATTGGAAGACCTATTCCAGAAATTAAATGGTACAAGGGCGGAAAGGAAATCAAAGAAGGTCGCAAATATGCAGCAACCTCGGATGGCCGTAATCATACACTGACGATTTCAACCGATCAACAGGAAGATGAGGGTCTGTACACATGCAAGGCTGTGAATGAGGCCGGCGAGTGTGAGACCAGTGGAACTCTGGTCCTTGAAGCAGCACCACAGTTCCCAGTGCCACTGAAAGACAAATTCTTTGCAACATGTGGTAGCACAGTGCGCATGCATGTTGTTTACATTGGTCGACCTCATCCTAAGATAATGTGGCTTTATGGAGCCAAGGCTTTGGAACCCTCTGAGAATGTGATAATTGAAAATACAGAGCATTACACTCATTTGATTCTCAAAAACGTACAGCGCAGAGTAAACGGAGGAAAATACAGAATCAGGATTAACAACCATTTTGGGGCTGCAGATACTGTAACTCACGTTGAAATCTTAGGTATATGCTTAATAATGCTTAATCATTTTTAAAATTCTGGTAAATATTAGTGGAAATAAGACTAATTAACTTATTCTTTGTGTTTTCAGATAAACCTGCAATGCCAGAAGGTCCTCTTGTACTTGATGCACTGTTGAAGAATTCTGTGATAATTAGCTGGAAAGCACCCAAAGATGATGGAGGATCTATGATCACAAATTATATTGTGGAAAAGCGTGAAGACAAGGAAGGAGCAGAGTGGGAACTTGTATCTTCATCTATCACAGGCACTTCATGCAGAATTCCTAACCTTGTTGAAAATGAGGGATACTTCTTCCGTGTTTCAGCACAAAATCGTTATGGCAATAGTGAATCACTGGAAACTCCTTCTGCTATCCTCATCAAGAGTCAGCTACGTAAGTAATGAAGAAACATGATTAAAGAATGTTGTTGATGTTGTTTTTTAGTGTTATTTAAATTAAAATGTATATTAAAATGTATGTTTACAGAGAGGCCAGGAGCTCCATTAAAACCAGTTGTTTCTGGACTTACCAAAAACTCCTGTGTTGTGTCTTGGAAGCCACCTCTCAGTGATGGAGGCTCTAAAATTAAGAACTATTGTCTTGAAAAGCGAGATAAGAAGGGTGAATGGGTTGCAGTTACAACAGATGAAATCCACCAGACTGTTTATTCTGTCAAGGGCCTGACAGAAGGTGTTGAGTATGAATTCCGGGTGAAATGTGAAAACCTTGGTGGTGAAAGTGAGTACAGTGAAGTATCTGACCCTGCCATTCCAAAGACTGATGTTGAAGTGCGTGCTCCTGCCTTCAAGGAAGATCTCAGAAACATGAGTGTAAAATTCAAGAGCAATGCAACATTTGTCTGCAAGATAACAGGACAGCCCAAGCCTGTAATAAAATGGTTCAAGCGTGGTAAGGAAATTCAAGCTGATGGCACCAAAGTCAAGATTCAAGAATACAAGGGAGGCTACCAGCAGCTTGTTATTGCTGATTGTGATGCAGAAGACTCAACTGTATATCAGATCAGAGCAACAAACCAGGGTGGATCCATTTCTGCTACTGTTTCTCTAGATGTAGAAAGTAAGCTTTCAGTATTTTTATATACTTTAACTGGCTATACCCGCAATTCTGTCTGTAAGAAAATTTCAAAGTGATGCATTAAAATTTTCTCTTTTTTTTCTCAGTCCCTGCTAAGATTCATCTACCTAAGAATCTGCAAGGAAAGGAGGCTATCCCTGCACTTCGTGGTGAAGTTGTGAACATCAAAATTCCATTCAGTGGAAAACCAGATCCAGTTATCACTTGGCAGAAGGGACAAGACCTTCTTGATAATGATGGACACTATCAAGTCATTGTCACAAGATCCTTCACATCTCTTGTATTCCAGAATGGAGTAGAAAGGAATGATGCTGGTTTCTATATTGTGTGTGCCAAAAACAGATTTGGAATTGACCAGCAAACAGTTGAGCTTGATGTTGCAGATGTGCCTGATCCACCACGTGGCATCAAAGCCAGTGATGTTTCTAGAGATTCTGTAACACTCCACTGGGTAACATCTGCCAGTGATGGTGGAAGTAAGGTCACAAACTATATCATAGAAAAATGTGCCACCACAGCAGAAAGATGGATTCGTGTTGGCCAGTCTCGTGACACCCACTATACTGTTGTCAATCTGTTTGGAAAGACAAGTTACCAATTCCGTGTCATAGCTGAAAATAAATTTGGTCAGAGTGCACCGTCTGAGCCAAGTGGACCTGTTGTAACGAAGGAAGACAAATCAAGAGTTCTTAACTATGATGAAGAAGTTGATGACACCAGGTCAGTTTCCAAAAGCAAAGCTCCTCATTCAGAGGCTAAGAATGTTCACAACAAGTACATGATTGCTGAAGAGCTTGGCCATGGACAGTTTGGTATTGTTCACCGGTGCATTGAAACCAGCTCTGAGAAAACTTACATGGCTAAATTTGTCAAAGTAAGAGGTGCAGATCAGGCACTAGTGAAGAAAGAAATTGCAACACTGAATGTGGCACGTCACAAGAACTTCCTGTTACTGCATGAGTCATTTGACTGCCCTGAAGAACTAGTCATGGTTTATGAGTTCATCTCTGGTGTGGACATATTTGAGCGCCTTGGTACAGCCAATTTTGAGCTCAATGAGCGTGAAATTGTTAACTATATCAGACAAGTATGTGAAGCTCTTGAATTCCTTCACAGCAAGAGTTATGGCCACTTTGATATCAGGCCTGAAAATATAGTGTACACCACAAGAAAGGGAACTAATGTCAAGATCATTGAGATTGGACAGTCTAGACACCTTACACCTCGGGACCAAATTAAGATTCAGTACACAACAGCTGAGTTTGCGGCACCAGAAATTCATCAAAATGAGATGGTTAGCACTGTGACAGATATGTGGTCTGTCGGTGTTCTTGTGTATGTTCTTCTCAGTGGATTTAATCCATTTGCCGCTGAAACTAATCAGCAAATGATTGAGAGCATTTGCAATGCTGAGTACAGTTTTGATGATGAAGCCTTTAAGCATGCAAGTGTTGAGGCATTAGACTTTGTGGACCGCCTACTAACCAAAGAGCGCAAACATCGTATGACCGCTGCTGAGGCTTTGAATCATCCTTGGCTGACAATGAACTCAGAGCAGCTAAGCACTAGGTCCATCAAGATTACTCGCCATAAGAGATATTACCAAGCCATGGTTAGGAAAGAATGGAACACTGTTGTCTCATCTGCTCGTGTTGCCAGTGGTGGTGCTATCAGAAGTCAGCGGGGAGTAACAGTCTCTAAAGTGAAGATTGCACCATTTGAACATGGACCAGTTGCAGGACAAATTAAACACAGTGCTGCTGATGAAGGTGATGATATCAAGCTCATTTGCAACATTGATAACTACGATAGCACCACAGAAATAACATGGTACTGTGGAGTAAGACAACTAGAAGGCGGCACTAAATACGAAATTATTTATGAAGATGGGCTTGCTACCATAACTATCAAGGGAATCACAAGAACTGATGATGGAACATACAGATGTAAAGTTGTCAATGAGTATGGTGAGGACAGTGCCTATACCGAGCTCTTTGTCAAAGGGGTAAGATCCTATCGTGAGTTCTACACTACACGTGTTGTAAAGAAAGTAAAACGTAGAGTTGACACAGCAAGACTACTCCAAAGACCTCCTGAATTCACTTTGCCATTGTGTAACCGCACAGCTTACATTGGAGAGGATGTGCGCTTTGGTGTCACAATCACAGTGCATCCTGAACCTCGTGTAATGTGGTTGAAAACTGGTCAAAAGATTATGCCGGGAGATGATGACAAGAAATACACTTTTGTTAGTGATAAGGGCCTGTATCAGTTAGTTATTCACAAACTTGACCCAGATGATGATGCGGAATACACTGTTGTGGCACGGAACAGATTTGGTGATGACAGTTGCAAGGCTCGTCTCACAGTGATCCCTCGTCCTGCTCCTGCTGATAACACTTTGAGACCTATGTTCAAACGTGTTCTTGCTAACTTGGAATGCAGAGAAGGCCAGAGTGTACGTTTTGAAATGAGAGTGTCAGGGCATCCTTCATTGAAATGGGAGAAAGATGGCATGCCTTTGGCATTTGGTCCACAAATTGAAGTTGTGCATGAAGGCTTAGATTACTATGTTTTACATGTAAGAGATACTCTTCCAGAGGATTCGGGCAACACTCCACTGGGTAACATCTGCCAGTGATGGTGGAAGTAAGGTCACAAACTATATCATAGAAAAATGTGCCACCACAGCAGAAAGATGGATTCGTGTTGGCCAGTCTCGTGACACCCACTATACTGTTGTCAATCTGTTTGGAAAGACAAGTTACCAATTCCGTGTCATAGCTGAAAATAAATTTGGTCAGAGTGCACCGTCTGAGCCAAGTGGATCTGTTGTAACGAAGGAAGACAAATCAAGAGTTCTTAACTATGATGAAGAAGTTGATGACACCAGGCCAGTTTCCAAAAGCAAAGCTCCTCATTCAGAGGCTAAGAATGTTCACAACAAGTACATGATTGCTGAAGAGCTTGGCCATGGACAGTTTGGTATTATTCACCGGTGCATTGAAACCAGCTCTGAGAAAACTTACATGGCTAAATTTGTCAAAGTAAGAGGTGCAGATCAGGCACTAGTGAAGAAAGAAATTGCAACACTGAATGTGACACGCCACAAGAGCTTCCTGTTACTGCATGAGTCATTTGACTGCCCTGAAGAGCTAGTCATGATTTATGAGTTCATCTCTGGTGTGGACATATTTGAGCGCCTTGGTACAGCCAATTTTGAGCTCAATGAGCGTGAAATTGTTAACTATATCAGACAAGTATGTGAAGCTCTTGAATTCCTTCACAGCAAGAGTTATGGCCACTTTGATATCAGGCCTGAAAATATAGTGTACACTACAAGAAAGGGAACTAATGTCAAGATTATTGAGCTTGGACAATCTAGACACCTTACACCTGGCGACCAAATTAAGATTCAGTACACGACAGCTGAGTTTGCGGCACCAGAAATACATCAAAATGAGATGGTTAGCACCGTGACAGATATGTGGTCTGTCGGTGTCCTTGTGTATGTTCTTCTCAGTGGACTTAATCCATTCGCTGCTGAAACTAATCAGCAAATGATTGAGAGCATTTGCAATGCTGAGTACAGTTTTGATGATGAAGCCTTTAAGCATGCAAGTGTTGAGGCATTAGACTTTGTGGACCGCCTACTAACCAAAGAGCGCAAACATCGTATGACCGCTGCTGAGGCTTTGAATCATCCTTGGCTGACAATGAACTCAGAGCAGCTAAGCACTAGGTCCATCAAGATTACACGCCATAAGAGATATTACCAAGCCATGGTTAAGAAAGAATGGAACACTGTTGTGTCATCTGCTCGTGTTGCCAGTGGTGGTGCTATCAGAAGTCAGCGAGGAGTAACAGTCTCTAAAGTGAAGATTGCACCATTTGAACATGGACCAGTTGCAGGACAAATTAAACACAGTGCTGCTGATGAAGGTGATGATATCAAGCTCATTTGCAACATTGATAACTACGATAGCACCACCGAAGTAACATGGTACTGTGGAGTAAGACAACTAGAAGAAAGCGCTAAAAATGAAATTACTTATGAAGACGAGCTTGCTACCATAACTATCAAAGGAATCACCAGAACTGATGACGGAACATACAGATGTAAAGTTGTCAATGAGTATGGTGAGGACAGTGCCTATGCTGAGCTCTTTGTCAAAGGGGTAAGATCCTATCGTGAGTTCTTCACTACACGTGTTGTAAAGAAAGTAAAACGCAGAGTTGACACAGCAAGACTTCTGCAAAGACCTCCTGAATTTACTTTGCCATTATGTAACCGCACTGCTTACATTGGAGAGAATGTGCGCTTTGGTGTCACAATCACAGTGCATCCTGAACCTCGTGTAATGTGGTTGAAAACTGGTCAAAAGATTATGCCGGGAGATGATGACAAGAAATACACTTTTGTTAGTGATAAGGGCCTGTATCAGTTAGTTATTCACAAACTTGACCCAGATGATGATGCGGAATACACTGTTGTGGCACGGAACAGATTTGGTGATGACAGTTGCAAGGCTCGTCTCACAGTGATCCCTCGTCCTGCTCCTGCTGATAACACTTTGAGACCTATGTTCAAACGTGTTCTTGCTAACTTGGAATGCAGAGAAGGCCAGAGTGTACGTTTTGAAATGAGAGTGTCAGGGCATCCTTCATTGAAATGGGAGAAAGATGGCATGCCTTTGGCATTTGGTCCACAAATTGAAGTTGTGCATGAAGGCTTAGATTACTATGTTTTACATGTAAGAGATACTCTTCCAGAGGATTCGGGCACATACCGAGTCATTGCAACTAATTCAGCTGGGTCTGCAAGTTGCCAATCCACACTCAAGGTTGAACGTGTGACACACATCAAGAAGGAGGAGAGTGAGGAAGAAAAGAAGAAGAAACATGATCTTGATCAGCAAGAGATGGACAAGAAAGTAAGACTAACTCAGATACTAGCAGGTGCAGATGTTACCCCACTTACTCCAGTCGCACAGCAAGCACTAAGAGAAGCTGCAACTATGTTCAAGCCAGCAATCACTACCAAGAAAGTCAAGAGTGAAGCTGAGGAAGCCAAAGAAAAAGAGGAGAAAAAGAAGAGAGCAGAAGAAAAGAGGCTGAGAATGCCATATGTTATTCCTCCACCTCGTGTTGTTGCTCCTACTGCTCTTGAGGAGGATATGGAAATCAAACACTTTGTTCCTTTCTCTGATATGAAGTGGTACAAGAAACTCCGTGATCAATATGAGTTCCCGGAGCCAATGGAAAAGTTCCCCCAGAAAAGACTTAAGCGCATCCGACTGTCAAGATGGGATCAGTTCTATGAAGTACCCCTGCCAAGAATTAATGACCAATACAAGCCAAAATGGCATATTCCTGTTTCACAGGATGACCTTGAGACTGTAAGGCCAGCAAGACACCGCACACCTTCTCCAGAGATGGAGGCTTACTACAGAATCAGGAGACGCTCTCTTGGTGATCTTTCTGATGAGGAACTGCTTCTGCCTGTTAGAGAATACTTGTCAGTGAAGAGAACAGAAGAAGAAAGACTTAAACTCGAGGATGAACTTGAGTTAGGCTATTCTGCTTCTCCACCAAGTCTTAGCCCTGTACGCTTTGAACTCTCTGCACTGCGTCACCCATCACCTAAGAGAGCTGCATATGATGAGGAGGAAGGGGAGGAAGTTCCAACATATGACTCTTACCGTATTCCATCTAAATATGAGGCTGGTCCAAGCTATATTGACTTACGTCAGCGTCACGATAGGGCAACATACAGACCTCCAAGGCAAAAACAAAGGTTATATGAGGAAAAAGAGGATCAGGAACTGCTTAGGTCTGTCACGACAGCCACAAAATTAACTTCCTACAAGAGCCAACTGCAGCACATTGAGTTTGAGGAGAAAACAAAGGTCAAAAGAAAGGAGAAAACAAGAGTTTCTGTGTCAGCAGTAACTAAGGCAGCAGTTCTAACTGAAATACCTACAACATTATTCTCTCCTGGCTATGCTACAGTAACTCGTCCTACGAAACCTTCTGCAGCTCTGGCAGAAAAAGAAGTGGTTAGAACAACTTCACCTGAAAAGACACGCCCACGTTCCCCCAGCCTTGATTCTACTGAGAAAGCAGACACTACACCAGACTTATCAACAAAAATTGATTATATGTCAAGGTATGAGTCAAGAAAGAAAGCCTTGAAAACTGAGAGGAAGTTTGAAATTGTGACCCAGCAGCCTTTTACCCTCGACCATGCACCCAGAGTGACAGTAAGAATGCGCTCTCACCGTGTGCCAATTGGTCAAAACACTAAGTTCACAATGAATGTCCAATCGAAGCCAGAAGCACAGATTAAATGGTACCACAATGGACGGCAGATTGAAGAAAGCAGAAAATACCGTATATTTAACATGAGTGGCGTTTTGTCTCTTCAAATCATTGATTGTCAGGAAGAGGAGAGTGGCACCTACCGTGTTGTCTGCACAAATGCAAAGGGAGAGGCCTCTGACTATGCCACTCTCGATGTTGCTGGTGGAGGATTTTCTGCATATGCCTCGCAACGTAAGGATGAGGAGCCACCAACTCCCTTTTTCCCTGAGATGACAAAAACAGATGTTTATCATGTTTCATCTACAAAAGCAGAATCTGTATCAGAAACACAAATGGAAGTATCTGAAATTAAAACAGACAAGATAGAAGAGACAATTGAGACTGTTGTTCAGGAGGAGAAGGTAACATCTGAAATCAAACTTGAAACTATGGAAGTGACAGCAGTTGAGGAAGTTGTGGTTGAGAAAATTTCTGAGACTAAACTTGAAGCTACAGAAGTGACAACAGTAGTGGAAGAAGTGGTTGAGGAAAAGAAGCCAACTCTCCCAGCTACAATTTTGACTAAACCACAGTCACTCACAGTATCTGAGGGAGAATCTGTTAAATTCACATGTGATGTTGATGGTGAGCCTGCACCCACTGTAACATGGATGCGAGAGACGCAAGTAATTGTGTCATCTCATCGTCACCATATTACCTCAACTGAATATAAATCGACCTTTGAGATTACCCAAGTAGAAACGTCAGATGGAGGTAATTACACTGTAGTGGTAGAGAACTCCGAAGGTAAACAGGAGGCACAGTTCAGTCTAACTGTTCGTAAACCAACACCTGTACAGAAAGTTGTTGCTTCTCCTCCAAGAGTGAAATCTCCAGAGTCCCCCCGTATAAAGTCACCATTTGGAATTAGGTCTCCACAGAGAATTAAATCACCAGAACCAATTAAATCTCCACCAAGAGTTAAGTCTCCACCCATGGTAAAATCACCTACTCCAAAAGAAAAAACATCCAAGCCAACCTTCTCAGCAGAACTAAAAGACATCTCGGCCTCTGCAGATACTATTATTAAGCTTACAGTGAAAGTGTCCGGTGAGCCTAAGCCATCAATCTCTTGGATGAAGGATGGAAAAGTATGAGATTTTTAAAAACTTTTATGAAAAAAAAAAAATATATATATATATATATTATAATGAATGGATTTACTAACTTTAATTTTGACATTTTTTCTCACAGAACCTCTCTCAAGGTGGAAAATATGAAATATTCGAAGAACATGGTTCAGCACATCTTGAAATCTATGAAGCTGATGTCTCTGATAGTGGAGTATACACATGTACAGCCAAAAGCAGTGCTGGATCTGTTACTACAAACTGCACTGTTACCGTTCAAGGTATTGTAATGCTCAGTTTAGCACTCAAAATACATTATGATTTTAATAAGTATAATTTTGCACATACAGTTGTACTTTAATAAAAATTAACTACTCTTTCCGCTACAGCGCGGACAACGACAGTTGGCATGGAACGGAAAGCAGAGATGACAGAGCAAATAGTGAAAAAGGAGATAGCTTTTGAGGAAGTGCAGTCCTTTACAGAAATCAAAGCATCAAAAACCCAAATGACGATGAGTCAAGGTCAGACTGTTACGCTACGAGCAAACATCCCTGAAGCCTCTGATGTGAAATGGATCCTGAATGGAGCCCAGCTATCAAATTCAGAGAACTACAGATACGGTGTGTCAAGAAATGATCACACCCTGACAATTAAAAGCATCAGCCACCATGACCAGGGAATTCTCACATGTGAGGCCAAAACTGAACATGGTGTAGTCAAGTGCCAGTTTGACATGACCGTCAGTGCAATGCGCTCAAATGCACCAAGTTTCCTTGTGCAACCACACTCAAAGAATGTAAACGAGGGACAAAATGTCACATTTACATGCGAAATCACTGGTGATCCTTCTCCTGAAATTGAGTGGCTAAAGGATAATTCAGTAGTGAGTAGCTTGTCATTATATCTCCGGGGAATAAAAAAAAAACAGTTTATTTGTGTTTTTCCTCATAGCGGTCTGTTAACTTTATTTGAATTTCCCTTCAACTTTGCAGATATCTATTACATCGAACATGAAATTGAGCCGGTCTAAGAATGTGTACACACTTGAGATTCACAACGCTACCATTGAAGACAGCGGAAAATACACAGTAAAAGCAAAGAACAAATTTGGACAGTGCTCTGCAACAGCATCACTGAATGTCCTCAGTAAGTGATCTCTTTCTAAGAAAAAATTAACACTCTATAGTAACCTAGTATGAGCATCCTTTCCATTACATAAAATGCATGATCAAAACAAACACGTATGTCCAAGAAGAACACATATCTAATTATAACTAATTATCTCTGCTCACCACTCAAGCTAACAAAATCTAACAATTCCTTCTACAAATGGGACTGTTCTTTTGATCTTTTTGACATTGTTGGACTGCATTTTGACCTACTGAATTTAACTACCACAGTACAAAATAAAAAGGCACCATATAATATAAATGCATTTGTAGTCGGCATAGTGATGACGTTAACAGCATGAATTTTCAAGGACTTAAATATCCAAAACATTTTTACCACCCATTAGCCATGCACCACATAGTTTGATCCATTTAACAAAAATGTTTGAGAATGAAGTCAAAATAATCAAAAGACTGTATTTTTTTATTTGCATTACCAAATGAATTTCCTTAAAGGTACAATCTGAAAGTGGTGCAACTGGAGCATTATTTATTTTAGTAATACCAATGCTGTCAAAAATGTTCCAGTATACTATACATTAAATATTCCCAAATGTTTCAAACAGGAAACAGAGGCCAGTTGCACCATTTGAATTGCCTGTTGTACCTTTTTATGAAATAAACTGCATTAATGACATGGTATTTGCTGTACTCTCACAGCTCTGGTTGAGGAACCTGCCAAAATGATAATTGTGGAGAAAGCCTCTGATGCTACGAGCGTGCAGGGCAGTTATTCTGCCAAGCATGAGGCTTCAAAAATGCAAGAGACATCCTTCAGCAGTTCCAGCATGGCTGAGGTTAAATTTGAGAGCATGTCAGCGTCTAGCATGACCTCCATGACTTCTGAAAGAATGATAGCTATGAGCTCCAGCAGTATGATGGCACTGTCCAGTCACTCGCATGTTGAGGGGTCATCCATCAAAGCCATTTCTTACGGCCGCAAAGGTGAGATGGAAAGTCTGTGCATCTTCGCCAAAAAACATTTACAGTTCAACAAACCCAATTATCGGCAGAGCTATTATCAGCATAATAACAGATGAATTTGTTTGTCCTCTCACCAGGTATACCACCAAAGATTGAGGCTGCTCCTCAAGATATCAGTATTGAGTCAGGGAAGGTCCTGACTGTAGCCTGTGCTTTCATTGGAGACCCAACCCCTTGCATAGAATGGTCACATTCAGGGAAGACACTGTCCAGCAAGGAGCAAGAGAGTGGACGATTGCAGATTGAGACTTCTCAAGATGTCACCACTCTTGTTATAAGTGGAGTGAAAGAGACTGATGCTGGTGCATACACCTTAAAACTTTTTAATGAGTTTGGATTTGATACCACTACTGTCAATGTCAGGATTCGATCGATGTAAAAATATATATATATTATATAATAGCAATACAATCCTCACCCCATTTCCCTCATTCAAATCCTTTTTATTTATAGAATGAGAAAAAATACTCTGTTCTTGATAAAGACCTGAATTTCTGTTCTTGTAAATATGAACTTTTTTTTTTTTTTTTACCAAACTTGACATTAATTTATGCCAAACTAGACTAAAGTCTAAAGTTGTTATAAAATGTGCCATATTGGATAATTATGATCAGAAGTTCAGCACCATTTTGTGACATGTACATAATGTATATAGCCGAATTTACCGGTTATGGAAAATGTATGAATTGTTATTTATGACAATATTAACAAATGGAACTAAATGTTTAACAGGAGAAAGTTTCACATGGAACGAATACCCTGTTAAACCTGAAACAAAACTATGTGCCTCAACAATAAGTTGAAGTCTTAAGATTGCCTCAACAGGTAGAGAGGCTCCCTGTTGAAGTTAACTAAAATCAGAGAGACAACGTTATGCACTGTAAATTTGTGCGTGCAGTAATGCAGTACACAAGAATTTATGACTTGACCATAAGACCTTGAGTGCTGTTTGCATTACCCTCATGTAAGCAGGGCGACTAGGCCTTGTGTTCAGACTGATTAAGTCATACCGCCAATTTAATGACAAGCTCATTGTGCGAGTGGCCTGCACAATGAGTTAATGATAATGTTTGTGCACAGTTTCTGGCAACGGACTGTTTGAATTTAGATTTTATGAAAGTAACATCACCTGGCCATTCATTGTAAAATTAATTCAAGTGCTTCTTTGCAGAAGCTGTGCTAACTCTCGGAGGATTGCTAGGTTATATTTTGTGTGTTTGCGTGTGTGTGTGTTAGCATTAGAATCTCACTTTGTCCGCAGCCAGGGTATACATCAAGTAATGTACCACAGAGACTTCATGTGCTGTGCACAGAAAAGAAAAATTACATGGATGTAATACCCTGCACATTGATTTATTAGAACTAATTTATGTAGTTTTACCCATATATTCAGCCTCCTTGAGTTTTATGAATTACTGATTTAATAAAGCATGTTTTCAGCACCATAAAATGTTTGTCTGTTTTCCATAAATTAATGCTACTTCATTTCATATTTGATGTATGCATTATGGTTACTCGGTCTTTGAATAATATCTTCATGTCTTCATAGTTGATTTAAACAACAAATTTTGTTTTCATTGAAAGCAGGTTCAGTTTTATCTGATTTCAGCCAATATTGTTTAAGAGGATAACCTGCTTGAATCAGTAACATATGTGACCCTGTACCACAAAACCAGTCTTAAGTCGCTGGGGTATATTTGTAGCAATAGCCAAAAAAAACATTGTATGGGTCAAAATTATCGATTTTTCTTTTATGCCAAAAATCATTAGGATATTAAGTAAAGATCATGTTCCATTAAGATATTTTGTAAATTTCTTACCGTAAATATATCAAAACTTAATTTTTGATTAGTAATATGCATTGCTAAGAACTTCATTTGAACAACTTTAAAGGCGATTTTCTCAATATTTAGATTTTTTTGCACCCTCAGATTCCAGATTTTCAAATAGTTGTATCTCGGCCAAATATTGTCCTATCCTAACAAACCATACACCAATGAAAAGCTT